TGTGTGTGTGTGTGTGTGTGTGTGTGTGTGTGTGTGTGTGTGTGTGTGTGAAAACAAGTCCATGGGAAATGCGGGTCCGACGTCAAGGTCCACACACCAATGACCTGCAGTCAATCGGGAGAACAATATTTTTTTGTTAAGCACATCTGTAACGTGCCCCACTTGTGCATCAGTGTTGGCGACCCAACACTGACCAAGTCGTCCATTTTTGAGTCTTGCGCGTTGGTTATCTTTGGAGCGTCCCATTTGCGCCACGCCCAGTACTGCGATAGTGCATTTGCAGTGTGCGGTTGTGAGACTCACTTTTGAAGAGTTAAGTGGAAATGGTGTAGTTGGTGTCGCTGGGAGTGGAGCCTTCTAGCAGCAGTCCTGAACGAATAAGTGCTACGTCTACTAGGAGTTGGAGTTTGTTTGTGTGTGTGTGTGGCCTTATGGTGGAAGTCATTGCGAGTGCAAGTTGTGGACGTTTATTTATTCAGGCATAGTTCTACTTACAAATCGACATTCGCAGTTGAGACTTGTGTTGCAGTGTCAAAAGTGAGTGCATCGTACCGAGGAAGTAACAGTTACTGACTCTTCTGTTGTTGACTTTGACGTCATATCAGTAGCTCTTGTTTGAGAAATGTCAAGGCTTGAGTGTGAGGTGACCGTCCAGGCTGCCTTCCCAAGGTGGCGTCTTGACCATGAGATTGACCAGATGGTTCACGAAATGGATGCAGCATGCATTGCAATCGGCAATCGGGCAAGTTGCAGATAATGCGTGTCAAGTAAGAAAGCAAAAGGCAACAGAGACAGAAAGCTCCTAAATATGAAGTATAGCACATTATACGATGAAGTAAAGCGACACGGGAAAAGCGATCATTCAGGTGACATGAGTAGGGGAGGCTGTGATCAGCAAATCGGCGAGCTTCGTTGGGGTCGTTGTTGGCCATCGACTGCCGCACGGGTGATTTGCGATTTGTTCACAACGCTCCACATTGTAGCCCACTGATTTGATGCATATAAAGCGATTGCAACCCTTCGGGTGTTTGTCATCATTCGACTCCTCTTCGTTTCAGATGTATTTAACACAACGTTGGGAGGTTAAAATTGCATTTTGTGAGACTTTCGCCCCATTTCGCCAATGTTTGACGCGTTGAAGATGCCGTTAGGAAATTAGGAAGTGAGTAGAGACATTGATCATCGAACACACTGCTCGGCCGGTTCTGAAACCTAGCCAAGAGAACTTGTGTAAGAATGGTTTCCTTTCTTATCCTCCTCCTTTTTCTTCACTTCGGCAATGGGTATAGCACGAGAAATATGGATGTTTTGGGACATCCTCATCAGCCTCGACACAACTAGGGAGACGATTTGACGTTGAAATGGGGAGTGCTGCGCGATCTCGGTCCGCATCAGAGGAATCACCTCGACCCTCGAGAACGAGAATCAAGCTGCCCTCTTACTGCTCGCCCAAAATGTCCACTTTGAAGGAGCGTAGGCGTAGCATGACAACCTCGATTTTTGAGTACCGCCACCACCGCTAACCACACGCGTTGCTTTTAGCCGCACCATAGGATGC